GTAATTAAATAATATGTATATCATGAACTGGATACACGTAAATATTGAAAAACAACTGCACGTTCTCAAAGATTTCATTATACATGAAGTACCTATAGTAAAATAAAAATAATTATATTCAAAAAAATCTCTCTGATGACGTTTCAAAAGGATTAAGTATAATTGTAATTATGACATTATTGCAGACCTATGACATCATCACTTAATAAGGTCAGTAAGTTAATCCCGATAATGGAGTCCAGTGTACAGAATCAAAACCCATTAACATGTATTTAAAAGTGAATAAAGAAACACTCAACTAAATGATATGCAAATGATTTAAACTAATAATGTGAATAATTTAATTATTCCTTCTGTAAAGCAAAACAGTTTTCTGTGTTTTTCTTTTTATCAATTATTATTAAAGGATGGTGGTCGTGGTGCAGCGCGTATTTAAATTTCATTGCAAATAAACAATCTATTTTACATGCGTTGTGTATGTTGTCATGTTTTCTATATTATACAGGACATGATACAGGGACCACTGCCCTTTAAGCAACATGTACTCAGCAACTGTAGTTTGCGGCTTTAAGAAGTTAATAAAGCAAGAATTAATGGTATAAATTCAAAACAACCAATCATCATCAAGTTAACAACAACTGTAATCACTTCTACCAATTAGCCACAGTCATGATGTCAACAGTGATGCACACATCAGTTTCCCTGTGCTCAATTTCACAACATGCCTATGACACTAACGACTTAGCCTTTTCATCACCAGACAATTTGTTCTGCAAATGAACCCTAATTTTGGAACCAACAGAAATTTTTTTTTAGTAAATTCTCAGTTTTTTACTCAAAACTTTGGCACTTGTCCCAATCTTCTGAAGGAAAGTGCAGACTATAAACGGGACTATTTTGTGAATTTGTGATGAAAAGAGAGAACTGGTAGTGAAAAGGTTAGAGCGTAACATAATGGTTAACATCATAGCAATGACAGGTGTGATCTCTATAGTCCAGTCTGCAGTATCAAAACATTTTGTCAGGTTTAAGTCATTTCTACATCCTGTTAGTATTGGAGGGCAAAGTTATCAAATCTGTTATTACTGTAAAATCTGTATTAGAAGCCGCGGCTTCTATTAAAATAGTACAATGCAACAGAGGGAATGTGGCTTCTATTAAAGCATCTACACATATGAGAAATGATGAATTTTTTATTCTAAATTACTTTGGAGTACTTTATTTTTGCTTGAAATCAATTTTCGCTGAAGGAATAATTCAGTGAAAATAAAATTCAGCGAATATACCTTTTTTTCCTATATTTTACATTCAACTCCTCAAAAAATCAGTGAAAATAAAATCCATACAAAACACTAAAAAAAAATCCATTCAGCGAAAATTAATTCCAGCTAAAATAAAGTATTTTACAGTATTCAAAAAGAATGGGTGCGACTTCTCTAGAAATGCGGCTTTTAATACAGATTTTACGGTAGTTCCTATGAAAGCCACACTGGAAAGATCCTTGTCTAGCAGACTACAGTAGCTACATGTACAACAGGACTTCCTCTCAGGATCCTAAGGAGAGATAAGCTCATACATTTCAGCTTCCAAGAATCAGACTCTTGTTTCCGTATAAATAAAAATAATACCCATCACTGTTACATTCTAAGCACAGGAGATCATATTTTTCGTTTATGATAGAGCTTACTTCAGCTTTAACTCTGCACAAGGAAATTCACAATAATATAATAAACATATTTGTATTTTCAATATATTTCATATCTCTGGACATAAATCTTGTTCATCACATGAAGAGTGCATTCATTAGCCATTTAAAAGTACTTGATAAACTGAAAGATTTCTTGTACTGTGGAATGCTTTATTTTTGCTGGAATTAATTTTCGCTGAAAAGGCTTTTTTGGCGTTTTGTATGGAATTTATTTTCACTGATTTTTGATGTGTTTAATAGGAAATAAAGGAAAAAAAGTATATTCGCTAGATTTTATTTTCACGGAATCATCCCTTCAGCGAAAATAGCGAAAATAAATTCAAAGCGAAAATAAAGTATTCTACAGTATTGTGAAGTTTTCTCTGTAGTTTTGTACTCAATTAACAGTACTGCAATATTATAGGTCAGTGTTTGAATACAAAATAGTGATAGATCAAATGTAGCAGTTTGTGATGGTAAACTGGTATCAATATTGCTACTTTGATAGCAAAACAGTGAGATATATTACAATACTGCTGACTGGGTTACTTTTTCGTACACAGCTAAAATTCTTTTTCACTCAAATCTACTGCTTATTGTAATGCAGACTTTTTTTCAATTACAATATTAGGTAAAAATTAAGGTAAAAACAAATTTATTTATCATAGTTCATGGCTGAATATCTATTCCCCACTTTCCTGTACTTTATGAGAATCGGAACAACAAAGGGGCTAGTAGTGTTTAATGCATTTGCATGTAAATAAATAATGTAGCTTCCAAAGCCCATGAGACATAAAACATTCTGGGTCATACCTTTTTACAGGTTTTTACTCCAAATGCCTTATTTTTAACTCTAGAAATATACTGTGTTATTTATTATCAATACAATAATAATACATATACATACTCCAAGCAGAAAATAATGAAATTCATCCCGACATATTCAGGACTCCATAACGTCTTATCACCCTGAAATTATACGGCTCCCGGTGAGTTTTTAGGTAAATAACAAATCCATCAAAATGTTTGTAGCCTAAGGTCTTAATGAACTGTGTAATTGAATCATTAAGCATAACAAATGAGTTCGCATACATTTAGTTTATAACAAAATACAGCAATCACTCTCGCCAGTCTCGGGGATTACGCCTACAATACAAGTTAGCACACCTGTCAACGAAAATCTTGTAGTTGTCATTCCCTTGATGAATAAGTACGAATGTCATATACACAGTGTTACTTTTGGGTAAATCTAATATAATATATAAATTAGTACAACGGCTAAGATTTGTGATGGAATGAGTTACGAAGGACACTAATATTATTCCATTAGCCACAGTCGAATTTGGGTTAGAAGGGGAGGGGTCAGGTGGAACGGAATAAAATTTGTTTTTCTTCATCCGTTCAGTTCATCATCATGACATCAGTGGCACGTTATGAGATCGAATAACGGCGATAATGCAAGAACCCCCAGTGTGGACAGATTAACAAGTTCTTCATTTACATTGATGTAACCTTCAATATTATCAAGTCAGTAAATACTCGACGATCGACTCACTCAAGTGACATTACATCGTCACGCAGTATGATACTACAAGTTGGATTTCTCGATAACTGCCAAAGTAAACCACCCGAAATCGAAATAATATATAGATAGAGTTTCATTCTATTGTGAAATGTTATTATATTGTAAGCACTTACCCTGAGAACTCTTCATTTGTACAACGTTGTCGTATATCCAGTAATCGCCGACTTCAGACGACACGCCATTTTGAATATATTAGTTTGCGACCGAAATGCATTTTGGGTCAGGTATTTGGGTACCAATACTTCAAGAAAGCGATCTTTTACCATTGGACCATAACCATGTTGGGAGTTGATAAAATTGCTGTGAAATTTATTAGTTTACTTCACTATGAATAATAACGAGAGAATTAACACTTAATTTTAAGTTAGACTTTTTTCACGATGATGTTGCTGTACATTTGCTACCATTGTAAATTCCCCTGTAGATTTTGTTTTTCACTATTTTCTCTGTGTATTTTTTTAGAACCCAGCACTCCCTTCCAGAGTTTTTAATCCTAGTCCCTTGGGGGTCATTATACTATACCGGGTAAATATAATTTTCCATAACGTTTTTTTTCGTGATTGCAAATTCGGGAGAAATTTGCAATTAACTTGAGTAAACGATTCCGAAACTCATTTGATAAATACAAAATATTGTGTGTACGCTGCATTCACAGTACCCGTAATACATAGTAATTAACAACATTGTAGTTAAATTTATTAAAACATGTTTTGACATCAATGAAGGGCTATTTGCATTTATGTTTGTGTATTTTAACGGATTGCATTTGTGGTTCCTTTTTATTACTTGTTTGGTGTATCTAGTATGTATATACGATGGTTAATGAGTTATCTAAATCGTATCTCTAAAGGAATATCTCGGTGCCATTGCTTTGAATAATAATTCCCATCAATCATTGTATTAATGTTGTTAAACGTATTCATCAATTTATGAAATGATAGGCTTGCTATATTGGCCTATAAGCCCATTTAAAAAAATTCCCTCGAAAAAAAGGGTGGCAATGTGTTTTAGATAATATTCACACCTACGCATTTGAGCAAACGCTCGCATTGACTGGTAAGAGATAGCAGTAGTGGGCCAGCTTCGTTTTGTTTTATTGCCTCTTAAAGAACGAACAAATAAACAAAATAAATAAACAAACAAACAAACAGACAAACAAATAAATAATTAAATAGTGCGGTAATTTATTATCACGGGTATTTATAGAACTCTTATTTGTGAAAATATTACCAAGCATATTTTTTCCGTAAAATTAGGAGCACACACTGACCAGGGAGTCCAAGGAATTTAGAAGTTTGTACATTGTGAATATAGGTCAGTGAGGTCACTGCTATATAATAGAGTACAATTAGAATCATTTTCAACAAATTTCTAGTATTCGACTGATATAATGTTGAGCAACCACACAGAATACAATAATACTGTAATATTACGTGACTGCCGGCTTTTGCTAGCTATCCGAGAAGCACGGGAGATTACCATTAGTATAACTTGTTGCCGGCAGGTATATTACATAGGTCGAGTCGTATCGAATGGAAATTGACAACAATATTATCTGCATATATGTTAAAATACTACAGCGCCGCGGGAGTGGAACATCTGGAATAACGTAGTTGTATTTATTACGCGTAATGATGCCAGAAACGACAACAATCGCCAAAACAAAATATTATCGCTGATGTTAAATACTTAGTTAAGGAAGATAACATGTTTACAGTAGTTTGTGATAATTTAATGTAAATGCAAAAATGTTTTTTTTTCTTTTTTTTTATTTAATTTAAAGTATACAAAAAACTCCAAAAGACTGCGTCATAATGGTAAATATATAATCTCATTTGAAACTCGCTAAAATAAATTAAACATTTTTGAAAATATGACAATTTTAGGATTCATACAAATGATTTGAACGCATTATTTTGGTAAGTTCTCGTCATTGAACAACAATTAAGATGTAATAACAAGAAAACCAATTTCAACACAACGTTACTCGCGAAAAAAAAATCTCGACAACCTCACAAGTTTTTATTTCGAGTTTGTGTATTTCATTTTTGTTATGTGAAACTGACGCTGGCATTTAATTTCACTATTTTGATATGCACTGGGATTTAGGTTAAAGAAATTTCCCATGTTCATGTGGATTTAATTTAGCTTATTTTACTAATCAGCGAATAATATAGCGAAATTAAAACCCAATGAATAATTAATGTATTTAAAGTAGTAGGCTTGGAACGTACAATTACAATATAAACCTGTTCAATAACGATCAACCTATTAAAACATGATATTTTTATAAATACGCCCTCTAGTGACAGTTGCGAGATTGGAGACACCGTAAGCATGGGAGATGTCCGAGACGCGAACCCCCACTCATTCCTTCCATTTAACAACCATACAGACAGTATTGATAAACTTCCATTTTTTGCATAAGATTTTTGGAAAGGTTCGTTATAAATCAGGCAATCAGGACGGTTCAGCTTTAGTATTTTCAATAGTTGTTGGACACAATTCTATCTCAGAAAGCTGATTTTCAGTCAGACCAAAATGTATTTACCAGATAATCGTTTACATATTTAAATGTTAGCAGTAAACACTGTTTACTAGATTTGACACCCAGCTAATAGCTAGTTGGCTAATCTGAAAGCTATTATGCTCCAATAAACTCACAGCCTAACAAGAATAGAAAAATACTGATCAAATGAAGTTAGTGGATATATCGCGCTGATTCTGAATCCTCAACCGCGCCACTAAAGGCAGAAATCAGCCGAGGCTGGGAGAACGAACCAGAGGGTAACAAACCGAAAATGTCGGTATTCTCATGGAGTCACCTCAATCCTACTATAACACAGATTAGAAATGACTACTATCTAAGTATGATGAAATATAAAACATGTTGTCGGGACTTGATAGTGTTTCCTGTGCATTGTCGGTTCACTGGGCCTTTTCCCTTAATAATAATTTGAAGAAACTGACAGAGGACCTTCGAATTGTAACACAACACAAGTTTATTGGGGGCTATTGATTTATCGGACCTCATTGATGAAAACTTCCCCACCTGGTTACAGAAAGAAACATGCAATGGGATTGGTTGAAATATAAAATAAAACAAACTACTATTGAATATAGTAAACAAAAATGTATTGAACAAAAAGGAAATCTTGAAAAAAATGTATCTAACTTAGAAAAATATTAGCCTTCAAACCAACCGAACCGTAAATTCAAGAATATAAAAGTGTCGAGATCTCTTTAACAAAACAAGAACTAGGACAAAAACTGAAAGGCTATCACAAGGCCACATGCTAATTCACATGAACCAGAAGAAAACACTTCATAAACCTAGAAAAAAGCAATGCAAACAAGTCATAAATAAATTTTCTTGGGAAAAACTCTTTATACCAATATTTCGAGATAGGTCAGGAACAGAGGTGTCAGACAAGTGGCTCAATCTCTCCACTCCACTATTATTTATACTTAATGCGGGATAATTTCTAGTTCCACATGGAATAAGAAGTGGTAGGTAATCTCAAGTTCCACATGGAGTAAGAAGTGGTAGTTAATCTCAAGTTCCACATGGAGTTAGAAGTGGTAAACTCTAGTTCCATGTGAAGTAGGAAATGGTAGTTAATCTCCAGTATGAAGTGGTGATCTCTAGTTCCACATGGAGTGAGAAATGGTAATCTCTTGTTCCACA